GCGTATTCAACTTTTCCACTCTGGAGGATGGTTTCAAATTTTTGCGTTTTTAAACCCCAAAAAATCTGTCACCGTCTAAACGAAAGGCACTTCCGATAAAGAGAGAAGAAAGTAGTAGAAACTGACATTTAAAGAGAGCCGTCTTTAAGGGGCCATAAGATCTGCTGATATTTTGAGCCGATTAATTTTGCAATTAGAATTTTGCAGAAACTCATCCCCAACCTTGTGTTATTACAAACTGATTTTTAATATTTTTAGCCAGTAGGTTGGGCCAAACAAAATATCGACCAGTGCTTCTGCGCATTTCCGGTATTACGCACAGTGCTTTAGGACATATTATAATAATGCTAATTCAATTTCACTTTGCATTAGGCACGGTACGTTTTGAATTTCAATAGCTGCATTTGAAAACATTAGAAAAAAAAGAGTTATTGAAAAGAGCGCATCAGTAGATATAACGAATATTGCATCCACTCAGCCAATTCATCAACATCAGAAAGAGGGGACTGCAGTATCCCCTTCAGAATGAACTCATTTGATCAAACAGCCTTTTATACCTACGCTACCTTTGAATGGAACCTCACATCCAAAAGCATTAAAAACACCAACACCTGTCACACTTTCTATAATGTGTGTATGTTCTGTTGTTGATGACTCTTGTGTCTTGTAGTGGAAATAATGTAAATAGTTGCTCAATGAATACTGTCTCATTTTATGCTTTTTAAAAAAATTCTTGGCACATTTTGGTATATTTATAGAAATGTTAATTAATATGTGGCTCTGAAATAAACAAATACATCAACATGCTTATATCTAGTGGTGTAAGAAGTACTCGAGTTTGTTACTTAAAAGTACAGATCCTGGAGCAAAACAAATATGCAAGTAAAAGTAAAAGTATCACATAAAAAAATCTTAAGTAAAGTATTAAAGTACCCGTTTAAAATGCACTTAAAGATTAACAAGTAAAAGCATTTCATTCAGATTTTGAGATTTAATAAAACTTTAAATGTAGTAATGTTGATAAAGATTTGTGCAGAACTTTGTTTAATAGAAACATCTGTTGTCTTTTTGTAGCTGTTTTTATTTGTGTATTTTTGTTGCTCAACTTATGAACATGTTAAAAATAAAAACTCAGCATTTTCAGCAAGTCTCAGATAATTAAAAATAAAAATACTTTTACTTTTCAGTTCTGTTTTTAAAATGTAGTGGATTAAAAAGTACAGATACCTGCTCTCAAATGTAGTGAAGTAAAAGTAAAAAGTATTATAAATGGTAAAATGTATTCAAGTAAAGTACAGATATCTTATTTTCATTTTAACTTAAGTACAGCACTTTACTACTTTTACTACTACTTTGTGTACTTTTACTAACAAAGCAGCTCTTTTCCTGTTTCCACTGCTGCTGTGAAAATCTGTGAACTTCCAAAGAAAGAGGCAAATCTTTAAACTATAAAACTATTTAAAACAACAGTGAAGGGACCTCACTTTGAACGCACACTGCTCACACATACTAAACAGCTAATCCAAAATTTGCTAAGCACCTCCTAATCGCAAGCTCTAGCAAGTGCAGAGAAAGCTGTTGAAGACATGCACTGGAAACCTGCCCAAGAAGATGAAAAGAGTTTTTTTTTTCAGATTTTTCCATTTGGGGATAAGTTTTCACAGCCCACCTAACATCAATGAGGCGAAAAGCTTAAAATTAGCAAAGGATTATTTTCAGAGTCAGGACATATGCCAAGAACATCAAACAAGAGCCCCAGAAAACGGAGGATTCTGCTGCAGTTTTACACGTGTTTTCTTGTATTCTCACATCTCTAAGCAGAATCCTTTTTGAATAGTCTTTTAAAGGACCCATATTACTATTTTCTGATCGATGTTATAATGTTCAGTCATCATGTTCATCATAAACATACCTGGTGTTGTGTTTTGTTTCGTTCACACCTATTTAATGTACCAACCCTGCATATTTAGGCTGTGTTCTTCTCTCAAACTAAATAGTATAATATCTTAATACAGGAAGTGCTTCACTGTGTTTTTCAGTTTCATATGCCTTCACTGGAATCATTTGGATAATTTTAGCCTTGGAATTTCCAATCTCTATAGAATTTAGGCCCCGTCCACACTAGTACGTATTCGAGTTGTTTTTGTTGCGGATGCAGTGTTCATCCACACTAATCCGATTGAAAACAGAGACGGAACGATCTGGTCCCGCCAGCTCCCACATATTCATCTGAGTATGGATCTGATCCAGCACTGTGTGGACGCCTGAAAACGCTGATACGCTGATGTAGTTCTATGCACCGTGAAGTAGCTAATTCAGCGCAAAAATGCTAAGAAGCTAGAATATATGTCCATTCATATAAACGGTCTATGCATATGATCGTACGCATAGACCGTATAATCTCTGAAAAGTTTAACATGAACTATCTCCAACATGATAGAAGAACAGAACAAACTCATCATTAGCAGAACACCCGTCTGTCACAGAATGAACACATATAATCCGCTGAGTCGTGTCCTTTAGTCTGACAGAAGCGCATCAGCGCACAATAGCGAGCTGTTTTTTGAGCGCATAGTTTATGCAAATTAGCCACATTGTTTTAAGTTTCGTTTCTGTAAAACGTAAACAAATATACTCAAAGCTGTGTGGATAGGGAAGGCTTGCGGACACAGAAACGAGGCAGTCCTCACTCTGAGCCGCCATGCTTGTCTTAAAATCCAGTGTTAATCCAGTAAAGACTGTATTTACACTTGCCATCTCCCTCGGCTCAAAATCAGCCACTGCAACTTCAGACTTCCTTGTTTTTACTGCTCTGTTATGTAGGGACGTCATGACGATGTGACTAGCGTTTCAGGTGGTTTTACGTTACTGTGTGGCCAGGGAAGGCTTTGATTGCAGATACAGAAACAACGTGTCTGGACGCAGATTATTTCTGATACGGTGATACAGTGATAAGCGGATTTGTTTCAGTGTAAACGCGGTCTTAAGGTAAAAGGTAGCTGTTAACTTGAAAACTAACACTTCATGGCATCACAAAGTGGAACAGAGCATTTTGAGCTTTGAAGATGTGGATAACCTAATAATAAAAGCTTACTGAAACACATGTGAATGAAACAAAACACAACCCCAGCTATGTTTTTAATGAGGTAACAACATTATAACATGACTTAAAACTTAAAATTCACTCACTCATTCAGTCAATTTTGCATAATATAGTCTGTTTAACCACATTTCAAAGGTACACCCTCTCTAAATCCTACCTTTCCCATCCTACTGTTTACTCTTCCACACCATATATCATCATCTACTCTTTCTTTTCATTGCGACGCTGTGTGATCATGGGTTTTAATCACCTCTGTGTCTTTGGTCCTGCCTGGAGCTGTGAAGTGTTAGACAATAATCGAGAGCATTAATTTCTTGCTGCTTCTTATTAGGCTCGTGGTCTGTGCCGGAATGAAGCCACCAAAAGCCATTCTCCCTTTGATTCACCGCTAAATGAGAAGGCCTCGAGCGCTGTGAATTCACCATCTCCTATACTGCTAATTTTCTCATTCTGTGTATTGCCAGGACTTGTTTGAACTCAAGTGGCATACAGTATTATGGCCCCAATACACAAAGCAAAGTATCTAAATACTTTAATGAACTTCTGATCTACTGCATAATACGGCATTATTAATTATCTGCAGTACTGGATAGACACGAGCTGGAAAATGACAACTACTGGCAGTTAAAGGTGCACTGTGTAACTTTTCTGGTGGAGGGTCCGTCAAATACTTTCTCCATGCAGATGTTATTGCCTTTGTCTGGAATGGTTCATAGTATGACATTTAACAGCTTTACCTTACATTATTCAAGTACAAGTGGTTTTAAAGCTCAAAAGTACCTAGAGAAACAGTGATCTGACTGTGAGCGATGTTGCCTCTCCACAGATCTGACCTGTAACCTGGTCTGGTTTGGTCTCCATGATAGAAAGGTTTAATACCATACTTAAAATATGAAACATTTCAGGCAGAACATCTCCATGGAGAAAAGCATTTGACGGAAACTCTACCAGAAAAGTTACACAGTGCAACTTTAATGAACTTCTGATATACAGTATTACGCATAATACTGGATTATTAATTATCTGCAGTACTGGAGGGACGTTAACGAGCTGTAAAATGACGACTACAGACAGTTAAAGTGCCATTCACAGGTAAGTGTGTCAGAGGGACGGGTCCACGAGGAACAAGGGAACAGTTTGTCCCTGATCTTGACATGCCAGAAAAAGAGAAGATTGAGCAGGATTTCAGTGACTTTCACAGACTCACAACTTGTGTGGGTCAAAAAGTACAGAGAGACAAGTAAGTGCGAGCAGGTGACAGTGCTTCAGTCTGTTCTTGTGTTAACTCTCCAAATGTTAATATGGCCGCCAGCTAAGGTTAGTTATGAACTAATAGATATAGGATATTTTCAGGAAGGGGACAAGATGTCGTGGCACAAAATCTCGCGACCAAATAACAACAAGATTGTCCACACATGAGCACACAGGAAAATTGTGGCCATACTTTCTTGTCAAAGACTCATCTCGTCAGATCTCAAAAGCTAAACAGAGCTGGGCCTGATTAGAACACAAATGTGAGACTGTTGGAAATATCAGGTGCTACAGTTGGGCACCAGTGGCAAAAAAAAAAAATTAAATAAAAAAATAAAAATTGTTGTTGTTTCCTTAGACAAGACACTTCACCGACATTGCCTTGTAAGAAAGGGTTGTGTGAGTGTTGGTGGTGGTCGGAGGGGCTGATGGTGCAGTTTTGCAAGCCTTGTTTCCTTTAGTCTTCCCCAGGGCAGCTGTGGCTATAATAGTATCTTACCACCACTGAGTGTGAATGAATAATGTAATGTAAAGTGCTTTGGGTGTCTGGCTGAACGGTGCTATATAAATCCAGTGATTGACTGAAAAATGATCTTGTGAGATTTTCCCCCCACAGAACTACAGCTGTAGTTGTAATTGTACTGACCTGACCGTGTGTAGCTCTCATGGCAGGTGTGTGTGATCTCAGCTGCCAGGTCCAGATAGTGCTGTCTCTTCTCCTGTGGTCCATCATCTGCCCCGATCCCGATCATGCCCCCAGAGAAGCAGGCCAGGTGCCCCATCTTGTGGTCCAGGATACCCCCCCTCCACTCAGCCATGTATGTGAGGCCTCCTGGGGACTTCTGCACCAGGTTAGCCTCGATCGCCTGCACAACACAAAGGCAAAGTACTGAATCAGGATACAGTAGTTCATTTCACACAAGGAGAATTAGCTGTTTTTCTGAGTATTTCTGAGCTATAAAACCACCTGTATTTGAATAAATGTAAGGTAGAGCTGTTTAATGTTATACTGTGGAACATTCCAGGCAAAGCAATGACATATCCATAGAAACAACCCCCAACCAAAAAGTTACACCTTTAATAGTGAGCTAATCAGTATACATGTAATTTAGTTTGGATATTTGTAATGTATGTTTTTCTGAGGCAAATAATGTAAAGTTAAAACTATGCAACTTTTCTGCTTGTCTCCATGGAAATGAAGACAAACAGTCTACACAACACAAGGACAAACATTAAATCAGGTTACAATAATTCATTTCACACAAGGATAATTAGCTGTTTTTCTAGACTTGAGCTATAAAACCACGTGTAATTGAATAAATGTAAAGTAGAGTTGTTTAATGTCATACTGTGAAACAATTAAAATAAACAGTGCAGGCAAATAATGCACACTGTGTAACTTTTCATCTCCATGGAGACAAGCAGCATACACAACAAGGGCAAATATTGAATCGGGATACAATAATTAATTTCACACAAGGGTAATTAGCGTATTAATAATAAAATGTCAAAAACTAATTAGAAATGACCAGAAGTTTATGTTTTGACATGTTCCTCTGCTGCGACTTTTAGTCAAGGTCAGTTGCTACCAATCCAAACAACTTTCAGCAACTTTAGCTAGAAATATACATAATTACACTGCTTGGCCACATATCATAATGCAAATAATTACAACCATTTCAACCAAGTAGAACAAAGCCAGAGAAAAATAATGAAAGTTTATAAAAAGCATTTCTAGAGGGCTGAGACTGACGCACTTCCCCATAATTAGCGGTGGTTAGTGCTAATCATAGCTAAACGTAATTGGAAAAATGTTCTCTCATTCAGCAGTATGTTTTAATTAGCAATGTACTTTTATTTGAATACTAAAGTTAATGAGATGCGCTTTGGCGTCACCTTAGATCCTTATATAAATAGTCAGTATAGAATCGGGTGGCGCAGAGGTCCTTAGCATTTTAATATGAAGACACAAGGGAGAATAGGCACTGTAATTAGACGCTGTGTCTCTGGCTTGACCCTATGAGAAAAAGTGCACAAATCTCCGTGGCGGGCTTGACTTTATTGTGCGTGATAGTGTAATTGCAGCCTCGGGGAACCAATGTTAGTCTTTAGACATTACGCTATTAAAAATGCTATCTTTTTATATAATTTATGGACATGGGAGTTCACGTTTACGCAGTGCATTTTAGTTAGTCGTAAAAGTACCCCTACACAAGCGAGCAGTCAGTTAGCATCTAATTGCGGCTGTAATCACATTACGCAGTACCGGGAAGCTAGCCTTGATACGATCTTGTGTCTCTTCTTCCCCATAGCCCTCTCCACTGGGGCTGCTCTGTCACAAATACTCCGAAATGGCGTATATAGCGAGGTTTGTTGGGGGATTTCAAAAGCTCTCCATTACCACTAACAGGAAGCACTCATTGAATTGAATTGCACTAGTTCCTATATGCAGTAGTTTGCATAAAAGCCCAGGGTCTCAATCTTGAAAGTACACCGCCGTTTCACTTCAAATATGTTTTCATGTAGCCTTATCATGCTTTGAACAAGTCTCTCCATATGCTTCTGATATATAATAATGTTGTTTTATACTTTGTGAGATCAAAGTCCTGCGAAAATAACTGCAATTATGGTTTCATTTTATCAGAGTACAATGGTCAGTGTGTCTTTTGTTTGTTAAAAATGTTTGAATTTTATTATATTGTAATGAGAAGTTAACAGCGGCCTTTGTTAATAAACTGGAGTGTTTAGCTGAAGCTTTAAAGTTATTTTGCTCTTGTACTTGAGAAGGCGGTATAAATATCTTGCTTAAAGTGGGATTACACCTAAACTCTGCCCTCATCGTATTTCAGATAGAGCTGCTAAGCTGGGTAGTACCTGGAGGACTAAATAAAAGAGTGAGGCGGTATAAGGAACACTGATTGATCGAACAAGTATCCACACTTCAAATTTGGCCCCTGCAGCCAGCTATTTGTAATCAGAAACATTGGACTTTCATCAGAGTAGTCTTGTGTGATGTCACCAAGTACTTGAAATTGACCTAGTTTGCACAAAAATTGACAAAAAAGTACGAGGAACAGTTCACAGCACTTTCTAAAACATTATATACACAGTTTGGTAACAAAAAAGATGATTTAGTGTTCCATTCCATTGTAAAGGTGCACTGTATCTTTTCTGGTAGAGGATCTGCCATCTGCTTGTCTCCATGGTGACACTATTGCTGTGCCTGGGATATTCCACAGTACGGCATTAAACACATATGTCTTGTTTTATTCAATTACAGCTGTTTTAATTTCACAAAAACTACCATAAAAACATGTAGTATTACCAAGAGCGGGACCACTTCTCCACAGATCTGACCTGTAACTTGGCTTTATTAACTTAACTTTATGTCTGAAAATGTTAAAGGTGCATTGTGTAACTTTTCTGGTGGAGGCTCCATCAAATGCTTTTATTCATGGAGATGTTATTGCTTTGTCTGGAATATTTCACAGTATGGTATTAAACCTTTCTATCTTCATGGAAACCAAACCGGACCAAGTTAAAGGTCAGATCTGTGGAGAGGCAACCCTGCTCACAGTCAGAATACCTGTTTTTCTAGGTATTTTTGAGCTATGAACCAGAAAAGTTACACATTGCATTTTTAAGGTCCAACATAGTGGTCAGTGTACAGTCATAGGGAGATTATTAAACTATTCGTACATCAAGTGCGCTGTAGTACATCCTCTTGGCGTCCTCGTCAGCCTTGTCCGACATCAGATAGGACTTGATCAAATACTCGTAGAAACTGTCCCCAAGGCCACCAATGGAGACGTGATCTGAGGAGGAACAGTAGGCAATACGTCAAGATAAAGCACAAACTGGAATGATATAGATGCAGTTAGATTAGTGGTAAGACATATTACATTCAAGAAGTCACTTTAAAGAGCTCATATTACGCTATTTTCTGATCTATGTTATAATGTTTCGTCACAAACATATCTGGAGTTGTGTTTTGTTTCATTCACATGTTTAGCAGACACCTGTAGATCCTGCATATTTAGTCTGAGCTCTTCTTTCAAACTGAAAACACTCTGTTCCGCCTTGTGATGTCATGTGGCAATACAGGAAGAGCTCCATTGTGTTTTTAAACTCCATGCGACTTTTATTTACATTTAAAAAGCTCCAAATATCGATTTTGCTTCATACTTTCCCCTTTAAATACAGGCATGATTTGCATATTTTTGCTTTAAGGTTCTGTAATACACAAAATGGATTCTGATGATCTTTAAACCATATTAGAATTTTGTTAGCTCATCAAAAACGTACCTGGAGTTATGTTTTGTTTCATTCACACATGTTTGAGTAATGCTTTATCATAGTCTCAATACATCTCCAAAGCTTCAAAATACTCTGAAGCGGTAGTTTTCAAGTTAACAGCTATGTTTTAACTTTCGTTCAGTCGAGATTTTTAGCAATTCCGGGGCTGTAATTATCAAAATTATTATTACTAGTAAAGGTGCATGAAGTTTAAAAACACAGGGGAGTGCTTCCAGTATTACTACATGACATCACAAGTTGGAACAGAGTGTTTTCAGTTTAAGAGAAGAACTCAGCCTAAATATGCAAAGTTTGTGTTTTAAACATGCGTGAATAAAACAAAACGCAACTCCGGGTATGTTTTTTATGAGGAGACAGAGATCGGAAAATGGGCTCTTTGATAATATACTATTGTATGAGATAAATTAGAAGTTTGTATACTTTTATTACCCCCAATGTGAAGTAATCAGAGGCCTATCGAGTAAAGTGCCCTTGCTGACAATAATAAATTAGATCCTGTAACAAGTGTCTTTTGATTTCTGTGTCTCCACCGAATGCCATATTGCGGAGGTTTATTAAGCATTTCCATTGGCATACAGCTACACAGACTCCCCCACAAGGTTAGCGGCAGGCTTTTGTGTTTGTCCTCCACAGGCACCCATACGGGAGAGAGAGGGAGAAAGGGCCTTCTATTCCCTAAGCGCTGATAAATATACACTGTTTAGCTTCTCTGCATGTTCCCACACAACAATTAGCCCCTCTAATCACTCAGATTACCACCTTTTCAGAGCTGTGTTTCTCTTTGAGCTGCTTTTCAACCTCTTTCAGGTAAATCGTAAAGACCCAATTTTCAGAAGTAATTGAATTCATTATCATTTTATAATAGAGCGATGGGAGTCATGCAGGCAGTGCTATGAGCTTGGTATGAAAATGAAAGATAAGATGGACCTCAGGGTGGACGGATGACAGAGGATGTGCAGAGGGCTGTTAGTAAGATAACATTTCAAGTATTCACAAGGTTGACGTGTATTTTTAACTTCGGAGAAAATGAATTTGCCAAAGTCGTACGACAAATTATTCCAGTTTTGAAAGACAGTTTGAGGACGCATTCACAATTCAGAATTTACTGATTTGAATTGTCTATTTCTATGGCAGTCTCAATGTTTCATAACTCACTGACCCATGGATTGCTATTGTAAATCGATTTAATAAACTAAAATATTTTATGCATATTGCCAAGCTTTGACCAATCAGATGTCAGTTGTTTATGTACTGTACACTATCAGTCAAAAATCTGGACTCACCCTCTCGTTCAATGTTTTTTCTATATGTTTACCATTTTCTACATTTGATATGCATGCAGAAGACATCAAATATATGAAATAAGAAATATGTAATTATGTAGCAAAGAGAAAAGTGTACTGTACTAAATATGAAATATAGATATTATTTTTAAAACCAAATCCTCAAATTAGCCACCCTTTGCTTTGTCAAAAAATAATTTGTGTTTTTTTTTTTAGGATTGAGGATTTGATACATATATCTTACTCAGACGCGCCGCTACCATTAGGCAAAAGTAGGCGGCCGCTTAGGGCTCCCAAACTATTTCCCTCAGTCCCACTAATAGCCGAGGCCTCAGAGTAATTTGATTTTCTCTCAATATGACATTAAATGAGAGTAGTTTACTTAAAAAAAAAAAAAAAAAAAATCACCATCAAAATAGTTTCTGATTGACAAATCTATTTTAACTGGCAAAGCATCCCCCCTTTTCACGTTAGAATGGACTAGTCGGCTTGACCCTGATTTGAACATAATCATAGTATAATCATATAGAATGGATGTAAACAAAAATGTTATTGTACCAGGAAAAAAATTTAATTACTTTTAGCTCTGGTTATCTAGTAGGCTTCCGAACTAATAAGACAAGTTTCCAATCCAGCCTAATAAAAAATGTGCATGTCTCAAGAATAATGGGGAAAAACAGACAACAAATATAAAAAAAAACCCCAAAAAAAACAACCAACTAACCAACCAACAAACCAAACTGAAGTTCGTCTAGGGCCCCCAAATTCTTAACTCTGCCTCTTGATCTTACTTCATATATTTAAGATCTTCTGTCTGCATATATAAAATGTAAAAAGTAGTAAACATGTATATATAAAACACTGAATGCGAGGTTGAGTCCAAATTTTTGACTGGTAGTGTAAGCAACTGAAGAATAAGCACAACAACTGAGCTATAAAACTAGTAAGATTCTATATTTTCATTTTAATCCACAGAGACACAGCAAAAAATCTTGTAACTTGGCATTCTCATTAATTTGCGGCATACATGACAACTACACTGTTTATCTGAGCCAGACACTGAGCCGGAGAACCCCAGTGGCGAGAGGGAGACATTTTTGCGCCAACTGGGATTTGAGTTTGGAGCTGTGGTGTAGTAAAAACTTTATTAAAAGCCCCATATTATGCCTTTTTCTGATCTGTTATAATGTTATTTCCTCATCACAAACAGACCCGGAGTTGTGTTTTATTTCACTCACACATGTTTAACTAATTAATAATAAAGTTTTACTCAAACATGTGCGAATGAAACAAAACACTTCTCTTGGTATTTTTGTGATGAGGGAACGATATTCTAACATGGCGTGAAGCTCTCAAGAGTCAGTTTTGTGTAATATAAGACCTTTAAAATGTACTAAAACCTTGTAGAAACATTTGCTAAACATTTTCACACTACAAAATGAAAATATGCATACTGTAGTGAAAAGAAAGAAAGGCAAAAATTAGAATTACAATCTAAGCTCTGAAGTGTTAACATTTTAAAACAAAAAAGTTAAAAGTTCTTGTGAGAAAAAAGGATCAAGTTCATGAATAATGCATGTTTTAATACTTACGTTGGACCCAGTTGCCGCTGACGGGACTTAGAAAATTGGGATAGAGTCCATGGGGCTTTTCAATCTTGTTCAGCAGTTTCCTGATATTCATAACCTATTGAATACATAAACAGCCCATTAAATTGTTATGGTTCCTTCTGTACTTCCATTTGCTCAAGGCTTGTACTCTAAAATCTCACTCAATACAACTCACAACGTACAACTCATTTTACTCGGATGTGAAGGAGGAAAGACGAACCTTTTCTGTGTAGATGGGGTTAGCGGAGAGCTCGGACAGGTGGACGAATTCAAGATGGAGGGTCCCAAACTCTGCCAGGATACTGCTCCCAGCTGAGGCCCATCCCCAGCTCCAACTGGTCCCACTGAAACGAGAGAACAGCCAAGCGCTTAGTATCACTGGCTACTAGAACAAAACAAGACTCCAAACAAGTGATGGAAGAAAAAGTACGCAATTTTGTTACTCAAAGGTGCATTGTGTAACTTTTCTGGTGGAGGGGGCGTCAAATGCTTTGCTCCATGGAGATGTTATTGCTTTGTCTGGAATTTTCCACAGTATACATTAAACCTATCTATCTCGAGGGAGATGAACAGGTAACAGAAATATGCTACACTACAATTTAGATCTGTGAAGAGTCACCCCTATTCACAGAAGGAATTATTGTATTTTAATTATAATAAAAAAGACTTTTACTTTTTTGTCCAGTTCAAAAATATAGTGGAGTACCATACCAGACCAACTTTATTTATAAAGCACTTTAAAAACTTTACAGCTGGCCAAAGTGTTGCACACAAACATTGAATAGACAAAGACAATCGCAGTACAACATAATACACAATACAAACACAGTACAACTACAAAAACAAACAAACATAGAAAACAATAAGTTACTCAAAAAAATAAAATAAAAAAAATGTACTTGTCACTTGTTAAAAGCCAGTGAAAAAAGGTGTGTTTTTAGGAGTGATTTAAAAACAGGTACAGACTCTGCCTGTCTTTTCTCTAGTACAGAAAGTAAAAAGTATAGATACTTTCTCTCAAATGTAGTGAAGTAAACGTAAAATCTGCTTTAAGGTGCACTATATAACTTTACTGGTGGAGGGTCCACCATTTGCTTGTCTCCATGGAGATGTTACTGTTTCGTCTGGAATGTCCCAGTGTGGCATTAAATGTATCCATCCTGCATTTACTCAATAAAATGTGTTTTATTTACCTAATAACTTGCATTCTTACTGTGAGTTGGGTCACATCTCCACAGACCTGACACATAACTTGCCCCTGTGGTGTGACCTTCTATCTCCATAGAGACAAATAAGTGTAATGCCATACTGTGGAACATTCCAGGCAACATTTCCATGCAGAGAAGCAGGTGGCAGACCCTTCACTAGAAATGTTTACGCAGTGCACCTTTAAGTTTAAGTACAGATACATAAAATCTTTACTTAAGCACACTTCTTTACTTTTTACTTAGTTAAGCTCCACCATTGCTCAAAACAACAAACCCACTTCTTTGTCCTTGCCTAAGTTGTTGTTTTAAAGTTCTCTGCGATATTGGAAAGTTAAGAAAGACTTGTCGATAGCTCAGCCTCAGAGCAGAATGCAGTCAATGCTCTCCCAGTCACTGTGTTTCAAATCAGGGAGGAGATCGTCTGGAGTACACCCTGCAGCCCTGTGGAGATGCGAATTGAGCTAAAACTTTTCAGGTAATGTCAGTTTAATGTGAGCCATTCAAAGGAGCCTGGGAATGACTTGTAAACTTCAACCAAAGTAATAGCGGCTACTGTCTGGGGCTTTTTGTTTCAAGTGGTTCTCAGAGTTGTCATAAAGTACATTGCACCACGGATAGCACCATCTGTAGCTGCGGAGTCAAAGAAAGTCATCCGCTCTGCATTGCTGATGTGGTAGACTGTTTTTCAGCTCTTTCTTCAGAATAGCAAACACGACATATGTTAAAGTTGTACAGTGTAAATAACAGATTCGTAATCATTGCGATGTCTGGACAGCTTTAAGACATGTTAGAATGTTGTTATTTTCTCAAAAACATATGGTACTTGGAGTTGTGTTTTGTTTCATTTACACTTTTTTGAGTTATCCTGTTTTATTAGATCTAAATGTTCTGGTCCACCTTGTGATGTCATCTAGTAGTAGGTAGTTTTCAAGTGAACAGCTACCTTTTATCTTTAGTTCAGCAGAGATTGGCAATTCCAGGGCTGAAATGATCAAAATGACTCTAGTGAAGGTGTGTGGAGTTTCAAAACACAGTGCACTTCCTGTATTACTACATGACATCACAAGATGTAACAGAGTGTTTTCTGTTTGAGCGAAATCATCCTAAATATGCAAGGTTTGTTAAAGGGGCAGTCCGGAATTCTGGACATAGGACTTCATTTCCTATGAAATAAAAGTGTTGAGTTAAAATTTAAAAAGTTTCTGAGTTTCTGTTTTCTGATCTATGTTGTAATGTTGTTTCCTCATCACAAATATACGTGGAGTTGTGTTTTGATTCGTTCACGCATGTTTAAAGGGACAGTTTGGAATTTTGGACATAGGACCTCATTTCATAGTGAGCCAGAGTGTTGGAGATGTGTGAAGACACCTTTTTAAATATTCCATCCAGTCCTTGTATTTGCAGCGGTCGCTGGTGCTAGGCTAGTGCATGTCAATGGCCATAGTTAGCCTGCCACTAAAGAAGTCCACAAAGCATCCAAAGCAAATCAATTATTACACCAGACTGTCGATGTGAATGTCTGTGTTGATACAATAATTTTAGAAGTAAGATCAACCTTGCATTTGAAAGATTTATGTCTGAGCAGCAGCAGAGAGTTGTACTTCCTGATAGAAAGCTCGGCAGCGGCGGATTGATATCACCTAGCACCTACTTTCCCCGCAAAGTAAAATTCCGCTGCTGCTGAGAAAATAGTCCCTCAACATGCGACGATTCATGCGATGGAAGGTTTGTTTTATTTCAAACGTTATTCTATCAACACAGACATTTACATCGACAGTCTGGTGTAATAATAGATTTACTTTGGGTGTTTTGTGGAGTGGGCAAGACTGTTTTAGTGGCAGGCTAACTATGGCCATTGACATGCACTAGCCTAGCACCAGCGACCTCTGAAAATACAAGGACTGGATGGAATATTTTAAAAAGTGTCTGGCTCACTATGAAATGAGGCCCTATGTCCAAAATTCCAAACTGTCCCTTTAAACATGCGTGAACAAAACACAACTCCACGTATGTTTGTGATGAGGAAACAACATTACAACATAGATCAGAAAACAGAAACTCAGAAACCTTTTAAAATTTTAACTCAACACCTTTTTTTCGTAACCAAGCACTCTATACATTCTCTTGAGTCTCCTTCTAATTTGTGAATAATGGAGTTTTTATCTACTAATTAACAGACAACAGAAGTAGCATAATGAATATTTTACACATCTCTTAATTAGATTGAATGAAAGGAGAGTGGAAAACTTGTGGTATGCTAGCAAAGTTTGCGGACAAGGTCATCCCGAGACTCTTCTCCCGTCTGTTTCCCGAGGCATCATGGGTAATATCTCCCTGCAAATTGAACTCGTGCTAATGTGTCATTTCACAGCGCTTCTGTTAATGCTCGTCTATGATTAGTTGAGCTACAATGTACTATCCGCAATGGCTTTACATATCCTCCTAATAGATAGTGCTAGAGTTGAAACATCCCATAATGAGCCCGGGTGAATTTATAAGATGTTATGGCGGGGTGAGGGTGGGGTGAGGGCGGGTGAGGAAAGGTGGTTGCCGGGGGAATCGGAGAGTTTGGCAGGCTGATGTATGTGTCCATTAAAAGTTTAGGGGCGATGTTGTTAGCAGTTCCAGTGCATTGTTCCCAAGAGAAGAATCAATTGAAAGCAAAGGTGCAAGGTGCTGGGCTTTGTTTGGAGAAGGGAGAGCAGGGTTTGTATTCGAAAAGCAATATCAGACACAGCTAATGAGCCTAACTGGTATCACGTAATTCAATGTCTGGGAATCACAGGGCCCCTCACAATTTGATACTCCATACATGGCTCACTATATGATATTATCACGATATGGAGATACATGTGACAGTCAATATATTGCATAAGATACGATCTGGATCTCTATTGATTTGTATTGTTTGTAATGGCCTGTGCTCATTGGCACATTGCAGCAAAAAAGATTTTTACTTCTACATTACTTCCTAAATAATGGCCTTATGCAGCCAAACATGTGATGTCAGAAATGTGCAGTTCTGATCGCTTGCTGCTAGAGTGGAGCTAGCATGAGTTCAGAGTAGGGCTAGGCTACCTTTCACAAAACTAACTTTTAGGCACTTTGACTATTTAAAATTATTGTAAAAATACAAAAGAAACCCTACAAATTCCAACCTTTATGAAAGCCACTGATGCCGATGAAAATGTTATTCCTTTGTCTGGAATGTTTCACAGTATGACATTAAACCTTTTATATTCATGGAAACCAAACCAGACCAAGTTACAGGTCAGATCTGTGGAGTGGCGACCCAGCTCAGAATCAGAATATCTGTTTTTCTAGGTATTTTTGAGCTATAAAACTCCCTGTAATTTAATAAATGTAAGGCAGAGCATTTTAATGTCATACTGTGTAACATTCCAGGCAGAGCAATGACATATCCATAGAAACAAGCAACCAAAAAGTTACACAGTGCATCTTTAACTTTTTCAACTGTCATGGCCAACCTTTAAAATAACGAAATTAATTTAATCAATACAAGATTTTTTCATGATGCCGGGGGCAAATTGAACAAGCTCTGTCAGAAATCCCCAATAAACCGGAACACAGTGAAGATAATAAATAGGGCCTCTGTGGATGTAATTGAAAATCATTTTGCCTGTTTGAGCGCAGATAAAACCTGTGTTAACCTAATTGAATTAATTTAGGGCAGCTTTCATTGGAACTGTTTTCAAAGCTAGCAGACTGGAAAAGTACTTCTTCACCTGATAGTTAGTGTTCATATACAGAGCTTTAGACACTCATGAGACCTGCTAGTGGGATAATAAGGCAGTTCAGATTAAATTGCTATCTCAAATCTCTAACTGCACAAGAGGCAGTTTGTTGATGGATTTTCAATTTTCATTTTGGCTTGACAAATTAAAAATATAGATACGATCTCAAGGTCTTCTATTTGCATAATATGGAAATGTGGAATTATGTTGTCACTTTTCCTCAAACAAAATCTATGAACTGTTTTCATAGTAACATGGATGATATTGTTAATTAAATATAAGAACTCATTATGCAAAATTTACAATTTTAACCATGCTATATTGTCTCATCAAAAAACCCTCTGCAGTTGTATTTTTGCTTAATTCACTCTTGTTTCATTATTAATTAAGTCTGAACACTCAAAAATGCTCTGTTTGAATATGGCCAGGATTGTTGCATCATAAATAATACTCTATTAAAACGCTCTATTAGCACAGCATTCACCATTCTTCACTGCTGATAGCTGAAGGAGTCCTACTGCCTGAATGCCATCATTGGAAACAGAGCTGAAGTTTATAAAGTATATTTTTCAAATGTAGACATTCATTTAAATGAATATTTATCCCAAGGAGACCAAAAGCATGTTTTCCAGGTAATTAGAGAAGCAACCATGTATAATATGTTCTTTAAAGTTTACATTTTTTGGTATAGTGTATTTGTGGTATTCACCTCACTGTGCAATAATCATTCTGAAATTATGGTAGACTCATGGTCAAATATGGACTATTAAAATATGTTGAGTAAGAATGATTTCCTCATGTAGACTGGATGGTTTGTGATTTATGCTGTTACCTCACCAATATGCCTTTCAAGTAAAGAAATGTATAATAAAATGATTCATATCACAAAAAGAAACAATAATATGGAGAGACTTTTGATATAGCCACAGCATGACATTACCAATAATCTGAACAGGCCATTTGATGCTATTTCAATGTACCTATGACTGTATCCCACCGGTGACCTCCAGCTATTGCGTCATACACTCACTCCTACACAATCTCTGTACTTGTTTTCTCCATCACTTAATGCATAAATAAAACCATCCACTCCCTTCTGTTTTTTCATATTTTCCTTCACTACATCAGAGCAGTCCTCCCTCGAGACCAGCTGCTTATGTCCTGCTACACCGTGCATATGTTACCGGCTAAATCGACGCTTATGAATAGTGTAGTTGTTTATTTCATTTTTGTATATTTCTCCATAAGTGCTCCATACATTCTGTTTTCTTCAGACCATCTGCATTCTACAGCCGTGTAAGCGACGCAGCCTGAACCAAGTGTAAAATAAGGTAATTAAATCTGTCAGCAGCTGTCCAGCTTGGCTGCCTGGTTAATTGGTAGCAGTTGGATAACGAAGGTGCCAGGGAGGTCTTAGAAGATGATGTGATGGGATAGGTTTATTTTGAAGGTGTAGTAATTTGATATAATACGGTTCTATACGGACTCGGCAGGATGTGTGGGGGCGGTGCTTCTCCTCTGGGTGATTATGGATGACACAGTGGAGGTGAGACTGAACCATGAGCTGAGCGTTAGTCACTGATATCAAGTTCAGTCAGTCACTTCTCATTCCTCGAGACTATTTCTGTATTCCTGATATTCAAGGGTTTGGTGTTATATTAAAGCATGTGGTTTTTGATGTGGTTTTAAGAATTAAGCTCACTTAGGTTTTGGAAAAGCACCAGGAAATCACATAGAGATAGAAACGAGTCAATTGAACACTAGGCACTGACTGTTTGCAATCTGTGTGTCCTAATTGGTCCTGGAATCTACACTAAGAACAATAACAATAGTCAGCTAAACCGTGCATGGCCATACAAATAATACTCCAATGAAAAGAAAATGAGACAAAATCATAATCAATACACAATCAGAACTGGCCCTAACAACACAAATTATTCCGTGTATTCCAAGCACTGTCACTTGTACTGTGGACTGTGTAGGTCGGCAGAGTTCACAACACATTCGCCTCGCTCCGGAGTACGAGAGGAGACCATCTGTTTTGAGTGGTCTTAGAGAAGCGGTGAATGAAAAGACCACCCGTGTAGTTTAATGGGAATCAGAATGCGTCTGTTGACAGGCTGGCACATCTCTCAGATCGAATGCTCTTTTACGTGGCCCTAACCGGTGGCAGTGTGAAAATGACTTCAGTCCTCTGTTTTGTTTTCAAGCAAACAGACTATGCATTTTTCTCTGATTGGTTACTCCGCCTGTCAGTCTGCCCATTGTAATTGGTGGAGACTGAATGTGGTTCCAGACAAGAATATAAGAACACTGAGAACACTGAGAATACATTTCTGTAAAGTAAAAGCTTCTTAGGTCTCCAAGGCAGCCGGGACGACGGGAGTGTGGAGTTGTAGCAAAACAAACTTTTTTCATAATACAGTTTTAAGTGGCCAGTTTGCATAAAGCATTTGTTTGTGTGTCCTCAAATAACAGAAGACAGAGGAAGTAAACAGAAGTCTTTGTGATCTGCGCTGCAAATCTGCACTAACAAACAAAGACACGAGATAAGGAAGGTGAGGGCTTGGATATGTTTCAAATTAAAAATGCAAATTTTATTCATATGATTTTCTGAAAGCTTTTATGAACGCAGATTAATTCTTCTCAGGGAGTCGTTGTAATTGCAAAAGCTGCAGCTGCTCCAAAGTCAATATAAGAGACTGAAACTTTTTTGCACTTTACAATGAGGAAAAAAAAACATTTACTGACAGAAATAAATTGCTGCGTCTTGACAATCCCCAAATCAACATTCGTACAAATCAGAGAACAGCATTTCCTTCTTGTCTGTACTAGTACTGCTAACAATTGTTCATATTTATTGTGGGCTCCAGACTGTCTGTAATAACTTCACCGCATTTTCAGAGCAGATTTTTATTTGGCAGGTGTAGCCGTCGAAATGAGTGGCCTCGGGGGACTCTTACTTCAAACCAACGTAAATGAATCCACTTAAATGAGATCCAGACACCAATTAGACACCACACCTGCCTAGCATATTTAAATGAACATGACTAAGTTAGTTGTATAGGCAGAGAAAGTCTAGAGACTGCTCTTTAAGCACTCACTGTCTCCTTTGAATGTGGTTACTGAAATAAAATGGAAGTACAAATGCAATTAGAGGGCTTAGGGACTATATTACACAAAATTTACTCTTGTGAGCTTTAAGCCATGTTATAATGTTGTTACCTCCTCAACAACACATTTCAGTAAACCTTTATTATGTCTGTCTACATCTCCGAACTAAACACATTTTGTTCCACCTTGTAATCTCATGAAGTGGTAGTTTTCCAGTTTAACAGCTTTTTTTTAAAACCTTTTGTTCAGTAGAGATAGTCAATTCCATGGCTAAAATGATGAAAAATAATTCTAGTGAAAATATATAGAGTTTAAAAACATAGTCAAGCACTTCCTGTATTACCACATGATATCACAAGGTGGAACACAGTAGTTTCTGTTTGATAGAAGAACTCAGCCTTAATATGCAGGATTTGTGTGTTAAACATGTGTGAATGAAACAAAACACAACTCCAGTACTGTATATTTTTGATGAGAAAACAACATTATAACATAGATCAGTAAATAGTGTATTATGGGCCCTTTAAAATTCAGATTTTGAAGTGAGTATACTGTATATTATATTTATACCATATAACTTATTTATACCAGAGGTGGGTAGAGTAGACAAAAACAAAAAGTAGATGTACAAAGTAGAGGCCCAACAAATTTCTCAAGTAAGAGTAAAAAAGTATTTTTGAAACTACTCAAGGAAGAGTAACTGTCAGAGCATGACATATGACTTCAATATAACTTTATATATAATTTGAAGGTAATGTCATTTGAAGAAAAAAGATTAAATAATGCACAAATTCTTGTATTTTGAAAGGACTGAGAAAGAAATTAGGAAAGTACATTATATCTGAAGAAGCAGTGCAAGAAACACAAATTTTGAAATCACTCAATATAGTCAACATCATGTAATGTCACTTGTAGACTGACTTACATTATTTCTGTTACTTAAAGGTATACTGTATAACATTTGTAGAGCCTGGTCCGCCACCTGTTTGTCTTCATGGAAATGTAGTTACTTTGTCTAGAATGTTCCATGGTAAATATCAAACTTAAATCTATCTCCATTGAAAAAAAAAACAACAACTATAAGCTACAGGACATTACAGGACAGATTTGTAGAGAGTCGCCCCTATTCACAGAAAGAATTATTGTATTTTTATGCAATAGAAACACCCAGAACGAATAAATGCAAGATAGATGTGTTTAATAGTCATACCCAGGAACATTCCAGGCAAAGCAACAACATCTCCATGGAAACAACTTTTCTGGAAACCCACCAAAAAATTTGCACAATGCACCTTTTAAGTAGAAGTAAAAACTATGCTGCTAGAAAAGTACTCGGAAATATACAATTTCTTGAAAACGTTACTCAAGTAAATGTAAATGCTTTATACTTTCCCATTCAGATTATGCTCTCTTCAAACTCCTACACTACAGGCTATGAATCTTATCCTAGAAGTTGTACATTTCAGCTGCTGCCAATTGCTACACCCTTGAGTAAGACATTTCATAAGATAATTTCCATATTTATCTACAGTTTATTCTACTTATATTATAACTGCCTGGACCTGAGTTATAGCGTGACTATCCAACTACATTCTGAATTTGTTTAATCTTTGTCCAAATGGATCACACCTCCTGGGACCCCATCTCAAATGAACAGTCACTATTCCTCCACAGTTTCGATAGCTCTCCAGGCTTGGCAAGCGTATGAGGTTTGCCCTAATATTTTTCATTTGGTCGATCATTATCAACTCTGCATGAACCTGTTCGTGTCACTGCCAGCGTGAACAGGTTCCAGAGCCGTGATTAATGACTGCCAAGTGCCTGCCTCGATATCATCTTTTGTGGGACAGAGGACACTTAGAGGTGAGTGGGGGGTTGGAGACTCACCTCCCCAGGTTGATGACTCCTCTGGGGATGCCTGTGGGTGTGTTGAATGCTGGCAGCAGCTTCTCCCCGAGTTCCAGAACTTTACTTTTGAAAATCTGTGGAGAAAAAGAAAGAAAGAAAAGAAGAAGGGTTAAAACTTAAATTTGCAAACATGAGTTACAGCGCAGTTCAAATGTTTGGTTTTCGAAATGGCTTGGTGAACTGAAAGAAGGTGAAAAGAACTAAAGAACAGGGTCTTCATACTTATACAACCACCACCTTAAGTTAGTACAAAAATAGGACTAAAACTGGTACTAAACCTGGACTAAAACTGCAACTAAACTTGATCTAGACCAGGGCTAAACCAGGATTAGAACAGGACCAAACCAAATCTACATCAGAATTAAACTTCAAAGTGTGAACGCAATTTAACCCTCTCCAGGCAGGCGTTGCAGATTTGCAACAGCTAAATTCCAATTACCTACTTACTCCACATCCATATTTTATTAGCTTTTTTTACTCAGGAGCCTTTTCTCCCATCATGCTGATAAACATGGACGATGCAGACTGTGCAAGAATGGCTACACACAAACGGCCTGCCAGAAGTGCAAAATACTTTTTTTGTTTACAAAAAAGTCAGGATTGTATATTACTACCCCATATTATAATTTTCCCCAAATATCAGATTTTTCCTGATACTAAAAATTCATTTGAGCCTGAGAGGGTTAAGAGAACTAAACCGGGCATAAAGGTTCATAAAGGTTCTGATTGTTTCCATGTATAAGCTCTTATTTTCCCTGCAATGTTCCACATACTGGCATTAAACAGATCTCTACATATACAGTATTTCTATCAATCTATATGAAAACAAGTAGGAGACTCTACAAGACTAAGTTACAGGTCAGATCTATGGAGAGGTGACCACTCTCACACTAAGAATGCATGTTATCAGGTATTTTGGAGCAATATAAACATCTGGAATATAATAAATGTAAGAGAGACCATTGTAATTTCAATACCGTGGAACATTCTAGGCAAAGTAATTACACCCACAAGGAGACAAGCAAGACATGCAATAGAAAAGTTACATAATACACCTTTAAACCAAGACAAAAACTAATCATTTATGAGTTCTGGGACTGCAAAGTAACTTTCTATAGTGCTGTCTCTGGACCCAGTGGGATTCAAACCACCAGCACGATTTCTCACCAAAGTGGTACCCAGCCTTAGGAGTTCAAAAAATTGAGCTTTTGTCTTCTATATAATTATGCCCATGACAACTGTGAATCATTATGTGATCATTTTGGACATTTTAAATTGCAATACTCTAAAATGACTCCATAAAAGATATAAGTCCGCTAACTTCAGGGTTGGAAAGTTGTGGAGCCCAGTGGGAGCAGATGTTGCCATAAACAGCATCATAACAAAGCTGTAGATCAAGTTGTTTTTTTTTTAAATTTGCGCTAAAATGGCTACGTGACACTACTGAATCCTATGTATACTACCGATTAAAGGTTGTATAGAGGATTATTCAAGGGAAAAGAAATACAGCGATAGTCCTTTTTCAAATGTTGTGCATGCGTGACACCACCTTCCTCCTCCACATAATCCCCGCGTGCCGGCGAGTCAGTTACACGAGAAATGTAGGGAGTTTGATTGACAACCTAATAGCCAATAGATAAAGAGGGAGCCTCGTTGTCTATTGGCTAATGTTTATCTGGCCTCACTACGTCCACAGTTGATGGATTTTCATTCTTTTTTTTCTTTTTTTTGGTCATCATAATTACAAGGCTGCTGCGTCTATGTAATGGTATTTTAAACTTTCACTGACAATTTGAAAGTAAAAACAAATCCTCCATACAACCTTTAAGAAAATAAAATTGGAGAACGAAGTAAAGAGCAGTGGGTATGTACCAATGGCGGTGAAAACGGGGGTAGATCAGCACAATGACATTTTGAATACAAAAGAATAAATACAACTCAAGAATGAATCATTACAACTTTGACTGGGTAAATGAGAAGGGGACACAATTATAACAAAAACAGTCTATTTTGCATAATAAGTCTCCTTTAAACTGTAAATGAAATGTAACAACTGACCAAAATTAGAACAAAACTGACCAATCAAACAACCAAAACCAGGATGTATATCAGCAATGTTTAAGGTGCACTATGTCACTTTTTCGTTGGACGTCGATCGTCTGCGGTACTTGATTTGTCATTGCTCTGCCTGGAATGTTCCACAGTATGACATTAAACAGCTCTACCTTACATTTATTCAATTACAGATGGTTTTGTAGCTCAAAAATACCTAGAAAAACAAACATTCTGACTATGAGCGGTGTTGCTTCTCCACAGATCTGACCTATAACTTGGTCTGGTTTGGTCTCCATGCAGATAGAAAGGTACCAAAGTGTGAAACATTCCAGACAAAGCAAATAACATCCCCACGGAGAAAACCATTTGATGGACTCTGCGCCTGAAAAGTTACACAATGCACCTTTAAAGAAGCTATTACTGCACACCTTTGTACCCATTGAAGCACTGGCTCATAGATAGATCACAGAGACAGACAGTGGATATAAAGCTGGCAACACTTCTCACAGTTTTGCCCTTTAAAGCTAATTACGAGAAACACAAGGCCCACTACAATACATCTCCAGACAGATTAAAAGCAAGCTCATCGACGCCATCTCACAGACACCCATTTAAAACTCCACTTCTCCTCTATCTCCTCAGGTCAGGCCGGGAGACGAAAAAGTTAATACAAGTTCTTATGAGCACCGATATCAGTCACCAAATCACGAATGGCCGGTGGGCACTATGTCTGGCGGCGGAGGGAGATATTGAAATGATGACAAAAGGAGTGGTGTGGCGAGATGAAAGGATAGCAGAGGTGAGAGAGGAGGAGGAAGGAAGGAAGGAAGGAAGGAAGGACGGGGTGCTCAGGGGACTTGGAGGTGAGCGAGGAGACAGACAGCAGGTCGGAGAAATGTCTAGACAAGAGCTGTTGGAGAATCAGGCCAGTCATGGGGAGATGTGACTCAGCATGGACCAGGATTAAAACTAGGCCAGACTGAGAGGGAGGAGATTAAAAAGTCTGCCATTTATTTTGTCGGAGGTAAAGCTGTCCAAAAAAGCTGAAACCCAGATACTGATGCTAGGGAAGTGTGATATGTATCAAGCGCAAACTGTTCAAAAAAGTGGAGACGTCACCCACAGCGTTTGGCTCCAGTCTAATGAAGCTCATAGAGGCCGGCAGTTGTAGGAGCAAATGTAGAATAGGAATTTATTAACAGACATGATAGCAAAATAAAAACACCAGGATCACACTGAATTAATACAAACATTTTAAGACCAAAATGACAAGGCTCACAGCAGCAGTTACAAAGAGAGGGACAATTTCTCAATGTAAAGTCAATTGGAAACAGAGTCGATGGAGCCGGAAGCACCCCCATGAACACTTCCTGCTTGGAATGAAGCGGATACCAGGATAGCTACGTCCATTTACTAGTATATATTAAAATAGTCTTTGGTATCAAAAGTAAAAAAAAAAAATAAAAAATCACATAAATAGGACAAATGCGGACTGGTGTTGCGAATTAGCCTATAAACTATAAACACTGATACTCACATCAGATTAAAGAATTGTTAATCTACTAGTATGTTTGTTGTATCTGTCCCTATACAAATAAAGAATAAATGAATTAAATTTGACCTTTATTTACACATGTTAGACCTCATTATCATAATATTAAAAGTACTATTATATTTATACTTCTAATATATATATACTTGTAAAAAAGTTTTCTATTAATACTTCGATAATGGACGATGATGGACTACTACTACTACTACTACTACTACTACTACCACTACTACTACCACTACTATCACTAATAATAATAATGCATCAGTTTTATATAGTGCTTTTCTGGACACTCAAAAATGCTGTACAGTTCATTATATATTCGCTCCAAACTCGGTGGTGGTAAACTACTATTGTAGCCACAGCTGCCCTGGGACAGACTGACAGAAGTGAGGTTGCCAATCTACGCCATCGGCCCCTCCGACCACCACTATCACTCAGACACACACCACTTTCATACTAGGCAATGAATGCCTAAGGACACAAAAACAGTTATTTATGACTGGCTCCCCACTGTGGCATCTGGTGTTCCCAGCAGTCTCCCATCCAATTACTAACCAGGCTGAGATCTGAGCTAAGCAAGACTGGGCCTATTATCATTATTATCTATTACTGAAATAGTTTTGAAATATCGAGTATCAGTATTTTTTCTTCGGACTGAAAGTGAGCACAAAAGTCTGTTACGAGAAGGCCTTTTTTTTTTTTGCAAAGCCCATTTATAATTCATTGTAGTATCAATGAATCAGATGGATGGTGATGTAGCAAATTCTCACAAGGATGTGGGTTTAAAATTACATAATATACAAATAAGGGGGAAAAAAAAGCTAAATATTACTTAAACAAAATAGCTTTGAATCTCCTTTTGAGTAAAAATAATACTTAAAACTGCCCAAAATTGAAACATCATTATAATAAAAGTGCAACGCATTGGCAGTGTGCAGTTTCACAGTGTAATTTAGAGTGAAGAACCAAAAATTATATTATGAAAAAACAAACCACAAAAAGCAAAAAGCAGGTACTAGTGATTTAACTCTGCTATGGCCGCTGCAGTATAAGTAAGTGTATATTAATAACATTTCCCAACGTGGGCACAGTGTTGAATATTTATGCATCCAGCAAAAGCTTTAAACAGAATAAATCTATTTTAATTACAAGGTTCTATTGCTCCATTCTTCATCTTATTGTCTGGAGATAAATATGGGCTATTATACCTATCTCCAAAACAATACAGACTTGGCTGCGGGTCGAAAATAATTTACATAGCTGAACTTAAAATACAACAGACTATAAAAGCGTACAAACCTGTCAAAATAACAAATTTTGAAGCTTGATTTATTGGCACAGAGATATAAAGCAATAAACGATACTATTGAAACTACTTTATCGTAAATAGTCACATTTTTATATAGCGCTTTTCCACGTTCGAGGAACCAGCCAGCTATTCACAAACATTCATACACCAGTGTA